GGAAGGATGGCAAGAAGTCCAGTCCAGAGCTGTGGACTCGGGTGGGGGAGTGAGGGAGCCTGGGAGGGCTGTGTAAGGAGGTGTGGGTCTTCAGAAGGTAGGAGCCACAGGCTCGCTGGCAAGTTGGCTATGGAGAAGGAGACAGCAAAGTCTGGGATGATTCCAGTTTGGTGGCTTAAGCCCTGGGAGAGATGGTGCTTTTACTGACCCAAGCAACAATGGAGGAGAAGCAAGTTGTTGGGAAGGAAGGTCAATTTTGGTCACTCGAGATTACTGAGCATGCCTGTGGTCTTAGAAGATTGTGCTACATTCTCCCTCATCCCATGTGGGTCATCCATGCTGGTCCTCATCTACCTCCCAAAACCTCAGGTGTCCTCCTGGTGTAGGACAGTTCATGTACTGTTTCTTCCTCTTGGGGGTTGATAAATCCTACTGACTCTACCCCAGAAAGCTATTTTCAGATCACAGCATACACATCAATCACCCTTAGACTTCCCCATGACCACCCTCTCCCATCTAGATCAACTCCCACCCATGATATGTTCCCACAGCAGTGTATCTTTATCCTCCATGGCACTTCCTGTAGATGAAATTACACTCAATGTGTAACTATTTGACTCATTTATGCCTCTGTCCCACTGGCTGTTCTCTAATGATAGGGCTTATATGTCTTCTTCACCATCCAATCTCTAGTTCTTGATGTATATGAATTTTTTAAATTGAGATATAATTCACATACCAAAAAATTCTCTCTAAATTTTAAAGTATATGATCCAGTATATCTTAGCATATTCACAAAGCTGTACAACCATCACCATTATCTAACTACACAACATTTATTGCCACAAGAAGAAATCCCATAACCATTAGTAGTCATTCCCCATTTCCCCTCCTGTAGTTTCTCACAACCACTAATCTATTTTCTGTCTCTATGGATTTGCCTTTTCTGGGCATTTTATAAATGCAATTGTATGTGGCTTTCTATATCTGGCTTCTTTCACTTAGCATAATTTTCAAGGTTCACCTATGTTGTAGCTTGTATCCATACTTCATTCCTTTTTATAGTTGGATAACATCATATTGTATGGGTATTCCACATTTCATTTCTCCATCAGTTAATGGATAATTGGTTTGTTTGTGCTTTTGACTATTATGAATAATATGGCTCTGAACACTGTGTAAGAGCTTTTGTGTTGACCTATGTTCTCAGTTCTCTTGGGTATATATCTAGGAGAGGAATTACTGGGTTACAATGGTAAGTCTATGTTTAACTATACAAATAGGATATGCCAAGTTGGTGTTTTAAATCGGCTATGTAAGTTTTTTGACATTCCTCATGCAAAGTTTATAGTATGTACTTTTAAGGCTAAATAGCTTCTCACAGAATGAATTCAATCAGGTACTATTATTTTCAGCACTTAAAAAAGCAGAATGAAGCTCAGGAGATAAGTGACTTGGGCAAAATCCACAATTTATCAGTTGCAGAGCCAAGAGTAGATCCCACCTGACTCTTGAGCCAGTGTTCTTGTCCAGTAAGCTGTGGAGTAGTCTAGCCAGGAGCCCACATGAGATCCAATGGGATAACACTGCTTTACTTAAGCTATGGCCAGTATCAGGAAAACAGTCTAGGAAGGGAGTTTTATTTTTGGAGCTAGAGGAAGAAAGAGGTTGATAAATCCTATTAATTTGGGTATAGAAGTATATCTTAGTTCTCTTCCTTTGCTTCCCTGTTTTTTAAAATCTGAACTGTTTCAGTGGCCTCCTAATTGCTTTGATTCTCCTTTCCAATATGTCCTCCATCATTAAACACATGAACTTGACCATATCTATCCCATTTATTAGGAAAAAACAAAACAAAACACACCAAAAATCTGCCCAAAATCCAGGAGTTCCCATCACCTTCTTCACAGCACTGGAAGTCCTTGACCTCACAGAGGTCATTCCAAGGTGGCCCTAGCCTACCTTTTCAGCTTAATTTCTCACTACTCCCTTTTCATGTATTCAACAAATGTTTACCCTGGGTGTTTTACATGCTAGGTCCTGTGATAGGCAGCAGGAATACAAATTACCTATAATGTGGTCATTCCTGCCTCCGAGAAATTGATACCTCATGTGATGGGGAAAGGGAGGAAGGAACAGAACTTCCTTGTAGATGTCTGTGTGGGCTTCAATGGAGGTCAGCACAGTGTTTGGGGGGATCATTTGGGCAAGGCCCCTAACGCAGCGTAGGAGGTCACACAGCTTCCAGACAGATATGAAACTTGAGCTGAATTGTGAAGGATGAACATATTAGAAATGAAAAGGGGAATCTGTCATTCCATCAAGAAGGAGTAGCAGGTGCAAAGATAGGGAGGTGTCAAACCAGCTGGATGGACCTTTGGTTGTATATGTGCTCACTGAGAGCTTATTAGGTACCAGGAGCTGTGGATACCCAGGCAGTGAACACAACAGACAGGGCCTTTGCCCACAGGGAGCTGGTACTTCTAGGGGTAAAACTGTGGAATGCAGGCTGGGATGAGCAAGGGCAAGCCTCCCTGTCATGGGGGTGTATGGGTTACCAGAATCTCATGGGGGGGGAGGTGTCCACAAAACCCTGAGATTTTGAATGTACCAGTATTTTCATAGAGTGGATTAACAATATTTTATTGTTTTCTCCAGGGCATCAATGACTCTCTTGGGTTAGAACATTTATTCTAGGTCATCTTGTGCCGAGCTACAAAATTTAACCTTGACCTGAAGTTCTGGTAGCCAGTTTATTTATTTATTTATTTATTTATTTTTTTGTGGCACTGGGGACTAAACCCAGGGTCTCACACATGCTAGACAAATGCTTTACCACTGACCTACACTGCTTGCTCCCGTGTTGCATTTTAAGAAGTGGAATCATCAAAGCCTGACTAGGGCTTTTGCCAGGGAGAACATCCCGTGCCTTTTCTACTGCTAAGCTTTTGCTTCTCTCATTTCCCCGCCTAGAGGATTGGAAAGAGCAGTGCTTAGAGCCTGACAGATCTGACCATGCGTCCTGCCTCCAACTACCACCTGGCAGCCTCCAGTATTCTCCCTGAGTGAAGTTATGATGTCTGAATGTGTATTCTTCTTCTTTTTCTGTTGAAAGTCTCCAACATATGGTCACCACTTGGCAATGCTCTTCTCTTGGCTTGGTGGCTCAGCTGCTCAGGGGTCCTGTCTTGTCTGAGGCTTTTCTTGGAACTTTTTGTGTAATTGCTCATCCTGTCAAAGAGCTTTACAAGCATCACTAAGTCTTCTGAAATAATAACAACAGCGACAGCAACAATTAACATTTATTATTCTTACTATGCTAAGTGCTATACCCAGCTTTTTGCCCGCATCATAATCCCGAATCCCTTCTGGCAGATAGGTAAATTCTATTGTCATATGAATTTTCAGAGAAGCTCAGAGAGGTTAAGTAAGTTGCTCAAGATACCCCAGGCTAGTCAGTTTCAAAGTCGAGATTCCGACCTGGACAGAAGGAAATCCAAAGAAACCTGTGTCATTCTGCCTCTTGGAAAACTCTACTTCCAACTGCACAGTTCAAAACCCCACCCAAGCCAGCTTAGTATCCCAGTTGGTCGGCTCCAGCAGAGTCGTCATTCTTTGTTTTGTCCAAAGATGCAGAAGGCGTGCCAGATGTTAGCCCGGGAGGACAAGGGAGAAGGTGGGGGTCGAGGGTGTAAATTCAGGAGCTGGGGTGTGTGCGGGAGCTTATCTGGGGACCGACAGGCGAGTCACGTGCATGTGAAACTCGACCTAGGGGGAGGGGAAAGGAAGGGAGCTCCCGCCCCTACCTCGGGGCGCAGCTCCGGACGCGTGTAAACACAACTATCAATTCGATAGATCACTTCGTTCCTACCCCGCTTCGTGGATCCGTGGCGCCCGGCAGGTTCCAAGCTCCGTGACTTCTCCCAAGAGGGCGGAGGAGTCGAGACCACTGGGCTGTCGGGCTGCAATTTCAAGGCCCCCGGGTCCAAAGAGCAGAGAAGACCTCAGCGTGCGCGCAGATCAGGGCTGGGCCCGCCGGTCCCAGGACACCCGGAGTGTGGACGTGCTGCCAAGGGTCTGAGCTCCAGGGGGCGTTCGCAGCTGCAGAAGGCGCGTTTGCCCGCGACCCGACCCGAGGTGAGCCGCGTGTGAGAATCAGTGTCTTCAGCTGCAAGTCCGCTGAGAGCCACCCGGGCCGGTTCCGATAGACTCCCAGACTTCTCAAGAAAAGCCCGTTACCTGAGCTCTTGAGCCCTGCGGCCCATTATCCCCTCTCCAAGCGCGCCCTTCCCTCCTCTTTAACCTGGCCCAGTGGACTCTGGTGTTCCTCTCGGCCCCCCTTCCTGCACTTCCTCTGTTTGGCGCGACACTTGTCAGGAGAGACCTCCGGGAGCCCCTGAATCGAAAGCCCCTATTTCACAGATAAGGGTACTGAGGCTCTCCCGCCTCCCGGGAGAAGTGACTCGTGCTTCCCACCCCTTGATCTTGGGCTTTCTATTTTGCCCTTCCCAGTTCCTCACCTCTCCGCCTTCCTCGGTCTTACCCCATTTGTCTTGTCGCTCCCGCCCCCGCGCTGGTCTCCTCCCGCGATGGCTGTAGCCTTTCTCCCACCTCTGGTAAACACATTCGCCCGCCCGCCAACCCATCCGCTGCCACTGCCCTTATAAAGTCAGCCACCATCGGACTTCCTGCCTAAGCCTGAGCCCCCTTCCCTGGCTGGGGGGAGCTGGCGGGCTCCTAGGCGCGCGACTTAAATCGGGTCGCCTTGGGAGTGAGTGAGGGGCGCGTGGGGACGCCACATTGCCAGCCCTGGGTCTCCCTCCACGTGGCAGCTGTTGGATTGGCCCATGAGACTGTAGGGACACGGATCGCCTGGTGCAGCAAGCAGAGGACTTATTCTCGCCTGGCGTCAGAGGAGAGGAGTGGACTGAGAGGGGCAACAGGAAAGAGAGGTCTTTGGTTAGCCTCAGACTTCCCTTTCCTCCCCCTGCCTGCTTCTGGGGGGTCTTTCCTGGGGCAAGAGGCCAAAGAGGCCAGACATGGGCTAGGGGAGGCTTCAGGGCGCGCTTTGTACCTTACTGAATTTTGGAGACTTGGGGAGTTCTGGTTTGGCCTCCAAGAGCTGGCTCTGCGCGCCATGGCCTGGGTGGGAGAGCCCGGCAGCACGCCAAGAAGCTTCTGTGCGCAGACAGGACCTTCCTTGTTTTTGATAGTGGCCCGGCGGGAACCCAGCGCCGCGTGCGTTCCTGGCACTGCCAGAGCGCGCCGAGCCAGCTTGGTAGAACTGGCTAGGAAGCTCTGGGTTCTATGGGCCTTCCATGAAGGTTCCATCGCGGGGTGGCACAAGGGATCTCAGGAGCTACCATGATGCAGTACCCTTCCCAGGGGCCGTTGGGAGGTCCTTCGCTCAGCGTTCTCTTTCTCTGCAATCTCTCGGCCAGAATGGCCCCCACGTTGCAACAGGCGTACCGCAGGCGCTGGTGGATGGCCTGCACCGCTGTGCTGGAGAACCTCTTCTTCTCTGCGGTGCTCCTGGGCTGGGCCTCCTTGCTGATCATACTCAAGAACGAGGGCTTCTATTCCAGCTTATGCCCAGGTATGCTGGGGTCGTCTGGGGCAGGGACCGCAGAGGGAGGAGGTGGAAGCTGAAAAAGACTATAGGTAAGGTAGAGAGAGAACAGGACTGCTCAAAAGGGGAGCCCTAGGCTGGGGATTGGATAGCCTCACTTCTTGACCTCTTAAAACTTCATCAGGAAATGGGTGACATTCTACATGCTCCACTTGGAATATATCAACCAACTGAATGCTGGGTGTCTGGCTGGGCATCCAGATCCTGGGATTCTTAGGCAGAGTCCTAAGTTTCTGACAGCCTCCAGTCTAGAAGAGGATGTAGTCTCTCTGAAATGTCTCACCTAAAAGGTGAGGGATTTCTTTGTGTGTGTTGAGACAGGGTGCTGGGGATGGAGCTCAGAGCCTGGAGCTCAATACCAATAAGCTACATCCCCAGTCTTTTCACTTTTTTTTTTTTTTTTAATATGTGTGTGTGGTAGTGGGGATTGAACCCAGGATGGGGGATGGGGGCCTACCACTGAACTACGCTTCCAGCCCTTTTGAAAAAAATAAAATTTTGAGACAGGGTCTCACTAAATTGCTAAGCTGGCTTACAACTTGCAATACTAGCCTCCAGCTGGGAGTTACAGACATGTGCCACTGAGCTGTGCTCCCAAGGGATTTCTTGAGGTCTGCTGTTGTAAAGCTAAAAAAGAGAAAGGAATCCTCTAGGTGGCAAATGCTTGTAATTCCAGCCAACTGGGAGGCTGAGGCAGGAGGATCACAAGTTCAAGGCCTGCGTCTGCAATTTAGGGCCTATCACAAAAAAGGCCTGAGGATACAGTTTAGTAGTAGAGCATCCCCAGGAATGGAGACAGGGGGGTCAGGGGAAAGCCACACAGAGTGAAATATGAATGTGAAGGACCTGCATTCTTCTCTTTGCAGGACCTTGGAGTCCCCAGGTTTTCAAATCTTCCATTTGCATGAAGTCCATAGTCCTGTTTCCTCTACAATGGGCATTGTGGAGGGTCTCTGTTTTCCTCCAATCATCTTGACCTTGTAGGAATGGCCCTGAATGCTGAAGTGAGAATTCTAAATGCCCCAGGATTAGTAGCTGCAGCCCTGGGCTGTCTGCAGCTGTCCAGGGGAAAGGAGTTTCCCTTCTGATGTCAGGGACTTGATGGGTTTCTCACTTCTCTGGGAGGAAAGTGCTTAGCTGACAAGCTCAGCTAAGGAGCCAGGTGGAAGTGGGGTTTGATTCTTTTCCTCCCTCCTTACCCCTTCCTCAACCTCCCTGTTCTAGAGTAAACTTGGAAGGAAGGCCAATTTGGATTTGATTCTCAGCTTCCACCATGTATACCAGCCGAGTGACATCAGTGAGTTCCTTAGACCTTGAGCTTGGGTTACTTGGTCTGCAGAATGGGAACAATAATATCTTTCCCAATAATAGTATCTGTCTCATTGTTGAGAGACTCATCCATGCTTGGTAAATGTTTCTGGCTTCTCCTGTCTCCTCAACTCAACATGTCTCACAGAGCATGCTTTGGCTGTGGAAGAAAACCAGCTCCCGTGGGTGGAGGTCAGGAGGTCTTGATCTCTGCTCTGAGCAGCAGCTGCCCCACCCTGGGGGCTGTCTCATCTCTGCCAGGGTTATCTGTAAGGAGCAGGCACATGCCTATGCCTCCTGGCCTCAGTTCTGTGGGCTGGAGGCTGTAGAGCTGAGCTGGCCTAGGAAGGCAGGTGGGTTGTTGAGGAGGAGGCCTAAGAGGAAGTGATAGGCATTTCAGGGTGGTCAAGAGGATCAAATCGTGGGTCACTAGGGGACTCATATGACACCCAAGTCCCCTCTTGAGTTTTCCCTGGAGACTGGAGAAGACCTGCCCTTGGCTACCCAATGGCTCCGATGCCCACCACTATTCCTGCCTTTTCCACCTGGAGCTGGTGGTGTTTTCTAAATCAGCTTCACTGAAGATTAATTTATATCACACATTTTGATGAGGCTTGACAAATTTGTACACCCCAGTAACCATCACCACAGCCAATATTTAAAACATTTCTGGGGCTTGGGATGTAGCTCAGAGTGCTTGTGCTTGCCAGCGTGCTCAAGGCCCTGGGTTTCATCTTAAAAAAGAAAGAAAGAAAAGCTATTTCTACCACCTCAAAACCTCTTGCTTCCCTTTTAAGGGTCCATCCGTCCACCTGTGTCTTTAAAAAAATATGTAAAACAACTTTAGCAAGACAAAATTTACATATCTTACAAATCACTCAGAGTTGTACAGTCATCATCTCCATCAATTTTAGAACATTTTCTTTCCTCCCAAATGTAACCCTCTGCCCATTTAGTAGCACCCACTCTCCCCACTCTTCCTTCTACCCCAAGCACTATGCAGCTGCTCCTCTACTCTTTATTTTCTGTTCTTTCCTTCCTTAATCCATCCATTCTTCCCTCCCTTCCTTCCTCCCTTTCTCTTCTTTCTTTCCCAGGATTGAACCCAGGGGCCTTACCACTGAGCCATCTCCCAGCCTTTTTATTTTTTATTTAGAGACAGGGTCTCACCAAGTTGCTTAGGATTTCACTAAGTTGCTCAGGCTGGCTTTGAACCCCCGATCCTTCTGCCTCAGCCTCCTGAGCTGCTGGGATTATAGGCATACGCTCGCACGGCTAACTTTAACATTTTGAAGAGCCTTCAGACTATTTTCTTAAGTGGCTACACCATTTTACATTCCCACCAGCAGTGTATGAGGGTTCCAGTTTCTTCACACACTCGACAATATTTGTGATTGTTCATTTTTTATTATGGATATAAAAAATATTTATTTATTTTTAGTTGTAGTTGGACACAATACCTTTATTTCATTTATTTATTTTTATGGGGTGCTGAGGATCGAACCCAGGGCCTTGCATGTGCTAGGCGAGTGCTCTACCGCTAAGTCACAACCCCAGCCCCTTATTATAGATATTCTAATAGCTATAAAGTAGTATAATTTTTTGGTTTTGATTTGCATTTTCCTAATGGCTAATGATGTTGAGCGTCTTTTCATGTGCTTATTGGCTATTGGTATATCTTTGGAGAAATGTCTATTAAAAGCCTTTGCCCATTTTTAAATTGAATTATCTTTTTATTATTGCTAATTAATAATTAGTTATTTTTAGTGTTGGGGATGGAACCCAGGGCCCTGCACATGCTAATCATGGAATTCAGGGCCTTGCACATGCATATCATATGCGTTACCCCTGAGTTCCATCATGAGCCCTTGTAAGAGCTCTTTATATTCTAGATACAAGTCCTTTTTCAGATATATGATTTGCAAAAGTTTTTTTCCACTATGGATTCTTTTTATCTTCTTGAAGGTATCTTTTAGTGCATGATAATTTTGAATATTGACAAAGTCCTATTGTCTACTTTTTTCTTTTTCTATTCTGTGTCATGAATATGAAAGCATTGCTTAATCTAAGGTCACAAAGATTTACCTCTGTGTTTTCTTGGTTTCATAGTTTCAGCTCTTACACTTAGATTTTTGATCCATTTTGAGTTAATTTTTGCATATGGCAGGAGGCATCCACCTGGTATTTTGAGTTGCTCAAAAGTGGGTGTGTATCTAAGTTTGGCTGTTTAGGATCACTAGAGGTGACCAAAGTGAACCCTTCTTTTTCTCAGAAACTTTTTGTCCATTCTTAGAAAGCAGAGTACAACATGCCTCTTTCCCCCACTTCTCTCCCATTCCAGCGACTCTGGCCTAAACTCCCTCGGCTGTCTGGCTGATCAGAGATGCTGTTCCTTGTTCTGTCTCAGTCATGTTGCAGATCAAAAGTGTCAACTTTCTGCTGCTTAGAGCTTCATACACTGTGGGTCTCTGCCTCCTTCTACCGTGTCCCAGGAATCTAGTATCAGACCAGGAAACTGTCCCCACAGAGGCAGGAAAGGTCTCTTCCAACTCAACTTTGTGCTGGTTGCCTGATTTGAGCCAGTTCCTCCATGTGTTAAAGAGGACCAATAATCCCCACCTGGTGGGGCTTCTATGAAAATGATTGAGAGCAAGCAGCCAAAATTTAGGCTTCCGGTAAGGGTTGTGAATATGTTCTAGACCCACCTTCATTCCTCATTTGCTGTGTGCCTTAGGCAAGTCATTTATTCTTCCTGGATCTCATTTATTTCCAAGTCTGTTAATGAGGGTACAGTTGTCACCTTCCCACCACAGAACAATGATGTGAGAATTAAAGGATGTTGTTTAATACATACGTAAAGGAGCTCATTATTGATGTTTTCATTTGTGTAGGTTTTGGAGTTCTCTGGCCATACCCTCTGTCTTCTTTCTTTCTTGATGGGTATTCACCTAAAGGGACATCACAGCTAGTGCGGGCTCTGTTACCCAGAATATAGGCAGTGGCAGCTCCGTTTACCACGCATCCTTATATATCCAGCATAAGTGCCAAAATGATAAAACAATCAGCAAGTACTTGGAAGCCTGAGGCAGGAGGATTGCAAATTCAAGGTCTTAAATTCAAGAGTCTTAGCAAGACTCTGTCTTAAAAAGTAAAAAGGACTGAGAATGTAGCTTAGTGGTAAAGCACCCCTTGGTTCAGTCCCTAGTACAAAAACAAAACAAAACAAACAAAAACAGCTATCACTAAAATTCATTAAGTCTTTACTGTTTGTGAGTTAGATTTTTTAGTCTTCACCATAAAGCTGTGATACAAGTATTATAACCTCATTTTATAAAAGAGAAACCTGAAGTTCAGAGATGCTAAGAAACTTGCCTAAGGTTACCTAGCTATATTTTTTTTGGGGGGGGGGTAGTACTAGGGATTGAACTCAGGGGCACTCAACCACTGAGCCACATCCCCAGCCCTATTTTGTATTTTATTTAGAGACAGGGTCTCACTGAGTTGCTTAGTGCCTCACCGTTGCTAAGGCTGGCTTTGAAATTGCAATCCTCCTGTCTCTGCCTCCCGAGCCACTGGGATTACAGGCATGCATCAAGGCACACAGCTCACCTAGCTATTTTATAAAGAGCAGAGTTAGGATTCAACTTCAGTTTTGACCCCGGAACCTTTCTGCTGGGCCTCATAGGAATAGCATAGATATCCCTGATCTTATGTTTCTCCTGGGGGAGACCAGCCATAGACAAGACCGGCTAGAGCTCTGTCCTAAGATGTTTTGGTGAATGTTACTGTGCCAAGTGCCAAAAGTGAAGCATCAGGAGGTTAGGAAGGGAACATGACAAGCGGAACAAAGAAGATGAGATCATTTTGTGAGTGTGTTTGTGCCTATGTGGCAGTCTTCAGAGCCAGCCTCTCGGGTACTTGAGACCACTGTCCCTGTTTCACAGATGGGATAATGAGAAAGTGCCAGCAGCATAGCTAGTAAAACCAGAATTCAACAGCTGAAAGCTTAGCCATAATCCCATTTTCCAGTGTTTCTCAGACCTGATCATTTTCAGTCCACCTTCAAGATTTTACCATATCTGGGTGCCACAGGTACTAGTATTTCAAGTGCAAATATGCTTGAAATCTCGAGTTTGATGTTGTTATACATATTATGCATATTCGTCTAATAACATATATGTAGTATATAAAACATGTTATATGTAAAATATAATGTATAATATAAAATATATCATTATATCATATATTATAAGATACTATATAGCAGTATATTATATAATAATATAACATAACCTTACATAATGGTATAGTCATATATAATTAATTAGTATGTATTATATAAAATAATATATATAATGTGTCTTTATATATATATATATATATATATATATATATATATATATATACACACACATACATTGTGTTCACGTGTGTATGTGTGTGTTTTACTAGGGATTGAACCCAGGGGCATTTTACCACTGAGCCTCACCCCCAGCCCTTTTAAATTTGTATTTTGAGACTGGGTCTCACTAAGTAGCTCAGACTGTCCTCGAGTTTTTGATTCTCCTGCCTTAGCCTCCTGAGACACTGGGATTTCAGGTGTGTACCACTGCACCTGACCATATATGTATTTTTAATACATTCACATATACATACATATGCCTGTTTCCATTATACATTTAAATAACCAATAACTGTGAAACCTCTGAAACCATTCCATGTACCACACAAACCCATCTGATAAAACAATCAGCAAGTACTTGGAAGCCATAAAGCTGTGATACAAGTATTATAACCTGCACTGCACACCACACACTGGGAAACCCTGTTTCCCTGACTTCTGAGCTCAACTCTTATCACTGACTTACTGAACACATTCTCCCTGTTCCATCCCATGCCTCACTTTACCTCTCTATGAAAGTCAGGAAGTTGGATGCGAAGACTTCTGTTGTAACTGCCTTAGATACAGGTCGAAGAGTTCTTTGCATCTTGGTTGAGAAGCCTTACTTTGACCAACCACTCAGTGATCAGGCCTCAGGAACTACTGTTCATATCAGTCAAACTCACAAGAGACTGATGATAAACCAGAGGAAGTGATGTATTAATTGACCTTGAGTCGTTAGCAGTCCATTGTGGTGGATTCTCTATCACTGGAGAAGCACATGAACTCGTCAGCACTATCTGGTACTTGGGAAAAGTACCAAGCTGGCCAGTGCAAGACATCAAGGACCTATGGTGGGATGGAAAAGTGTTGGCTTTGGAGATCCTCTTGAATTTGAACTCTGCTGTTAGGAACTGAGTGACTGGCCTGGGGTTGTAGCTCAGTGATAGAGCGCTTGCCTGGCACGTTTGAGGCACTGAGCTGGATCCTCTGCACTGCATACAAATAAGTAAATAAAGGCACTGTGTCCATCTACAACTAAGAGAAATCTTTTTTAAAAGAAGCTGGGTGACCAAGTGGTTTTGCTCTTGAGAGCCTCCTCATCTCTAATGGGGGCCATTGTATTCACTTTTGAGGGCTGTTGAAAGGCTTAAATGAGATTCTGTATGGAAAACTGAGGTACAAAGGGGTGTTCATTGAAAGTCAGTGGGATTGCTTATGAGGGAAATTGTCATTTGATTGTGAAGAACTTAGGGGCAGGGTCAATCTCCAGTTCCAGGATTGCAAATTCCAATGCTAGGTCAGGTCAGGCAGATGGTGATAACTGAGTACAACAGGGTAGGTGTATGATAGCATATATCTGGAGACTGAGAGAGATGAGGACTTGTGTGACTTGGGAAGGCCAACCCTGGCAAAAAGGGGAGACCTCCATCCAGCTCTGGGAATGGCCAGGTCTCCTGACTATTTTTTTTTTTAATTTTATTTATTTATTTATTTTTTTCAGTTTTCGGCAGACACAACATGGTTGTTTGTATGTGGTGCTGAGGATCGAACCCGGGCCGCACGCATGCCAGGCGAGCACGCTACCGCTTGAGCCACATCCCCAGCCCCCTCCTGACTATTTTTTGTTTGTTTGTTTTGAGATGGGGATAGCCTCAAACTTTTGGGCTCAAGCAGTTCTCCTACCTCAGCCTCCTGAGTACATACCATCATACCTGGCTGATCTTCCAACTTTTTAAAAAATATTTTTTTAATTGTAAATGGACCTTTATTTTGTTTATTTTTATGTGGTGCTGAGGATTGAACCCAGTGCCTCACACGTGCTAGGCAAGAGCTCTACCACTGAGCCACAACCCTAGCCCCTCCAACTTTTTTAAAAGTCAGAAATCTGGATATTTATGTGCTAACTCCTGAGTGTGTGTGTGTGTGTGTGTGTGTGTGTGTACTGAGCATTGAACCCAAGGAACACTTTACCACTTTACCACCTAGTCCTTTTAAAATTTTGAGACAGTCTCACTAAATTGCTGAGGCTGGCCTCAAACTTGTAATCTTCCTACATCAGCCTCCCCAGTTGCTGGGATTATAGGTGTGCCTAGCCCTTTCTCTTTTCTTTTTATTCTGAGACAGGGTCTTATTAAGTTCCCCAGGGTGGCCTTGAATTTGCTATCCTCCTGCCTCAGTCTCCTGAGTTGCTGGGATTATAGGCGAGTGCCACTATCCGGGCTACTAATCCTGATTTTAAACTGGCACCCCATTACAATTTATAACATTATAAGGGTCAACACTGCCAGCCAAGCAAAACTTGGGTGGGGTTCAATGCTGGTCATCTCATTGCAGATCCTGGTCTAAATTATCTTTCCATTTCTTCTTGCTTTTTGCACTGTCCCGACACAGCGTACGGGTCAATGTCCCGTAAGTGGGTGGGGAAATGAACAGTGATCATAAAGATCACCAAATTACAGGGCTAGCACGAACCCAAAAGCTGTGTGGTCTAACCCCCCCCTAACCGCTTCCTCCAGGTGCCTTGGTACTCTCCCCAGCCTCCTGACAGCTGGAGACAGTGGGGGAAGTCCCCATCACCCAAGACAGTTCCTTCCGAGGGTGGCCAGTGCTCAGCCTGACAGTTCTCTATGTTGGTTCTTATGTTTACACACAAATCCAATTACCCTTTGCTGCCTGAAGGCCCTTGGGATACCTGAAGTCAGGGGTCACTGCTGTCCCCTCCCCAGCATGCAGGTACCATCACAATTCTCTTCCAACATCTGAGACTCTTTAAAAAATCAGCATCCGTTTTTTCCCTACCATCTAACATAGGCCCCTTGAAAACTAACAGCTGCCTGTCTTACTGTGGGATCCCAGCACCTGGAGGCTGTGTTCCTCTCCCCCTTCCTCAGCCATTTCGGGAGTGCCTTCCTGAAGGCAGACACTGTGCAGGGTTCTTTATTCCCTGAGACATCCTGAGGAGCCTGTGGCTTAGGCATTCCCTGCTCCTGTTTATAGCAGGAGCCTGAGGCTCAGAGGCAGTTGCTTGTCCACAGTTGTCACAAAGTTGCTTGTGCAGCTAGTAAGGCTGTTAATGGAGACCCCCAGCGGTCTGCCTCCAGGGTGCGCGTCCTGAATTTGCCCTTGGCAGTGCTGCCTAGTAACAAATTGGAGGTGGTGGGGCAGCCCCCTCATTGACTCAGTGAAAACTGAGTACAAGTGATAATCATTCTCTGTCCCCCACATTGGCCTTTCTCATGGTCTTGTCACAACCCCAAGTTGGCAGTTTACCTTGAGGACAGGTTCTCCAGGTGAACTTTTAGAGTCACAGAGGGCAGTGCCTCAGTTTCATCGTCTGGAGGATGGGAAGACTTGTTTAACCGACAGAAGGGTGGTTGAGAGTTAATATAGGAACAGTTTAGAACGGGACCTGGAACATAAAGTGCTCAGCCAATACTGGCTTTATCAGAATGTCATTTATCTAAGTTTTAAGTGACTTCTTATCACGTGCATTAGAGTGCCTCTCAACAACTTTGCCTCTTGACTGGGGAGCACTTCCCTTGGAGGCCCGCAGCCCCAGAAGCTTGCACATTGAGTGAGGTTATATGTGGTAAATACTTGGACGTCCGTTATCTCATTTGAGCTAGTGGAGGCCCTAGGTTGAGTATGTATTGGCTGTCCTGGGATCAGATACTAATTGTGGCCATTTATGGAGCCCCCAGCCCCCAACAGAGTAAACATGACTCCAGGCCACCCCCAGGAACACCTAGGTTGGTTTGATCAGGCCTGGGATTTGAAGGCAGGACTCTGGTTCAGGCTGCTCTTATCTCAGCAGCTTCTGCTTTTCTGTGCTGAATGCCCCCTTCCCCCTCCTCAGCTGAGAACATCACCACCAACACTACCCAGGACCAGCAACACCAGTGGCCCAGCTGTGACCAGCAGGAAGAGATGCTCAATCTTGGCTTTACCATTGGCTCTTTCCTGCTCAGTGCCACCACCCTGCCACTGGGGATCCTCATGGACCGCTTTGGCCCCCGGCCCCTCCGGCTGGTTGGCAGGTAAGGTGGCTGGGCTGTGGGAGCTAGAGGACTAGGAAGATACTGCAGCCCCGGGTGGGGTGGGGCAGGGGAGGCTCACAGGTCAGCCCTGCCCTTCCCTGTGTCCCCACAGTGCTTGCTTCGCTGCATCCTGCACCCTCATGGCCTTGGCCTCTCGGGACACGGAAGGTGAGCTGTCTGACCTCTTGTGCTTCCACAAGAAGAGAATGGGTGGAATGAAGGGGGATGTCCTGGCCTCCCACAGCTCCCCAAATGCCCTCACCTGCCCCTGTCCCCCTTCCCAGTCCTGTCTCCATTGATATTCCTGGCGCTGTCTCTGAATGGGTTTGGTGGCATCTGCCTCACGTTCACTTCACTCACTGTGAGTATAACAGGCCACCCGGGTGCAGAGTGGGGTTAGCAATGGGTGGGGCACTGGTGGGGGAGGGGCTCAGAGGGTGTCGATCAGGTGCATGTGTGTGAAACTGTGCAGGTGGCAGCTATGGGTGGGTGTGGGTCAGTGTGTGTTCACCTAGCCCGTGAATGTCGGATGAGCTCCATTCTAGGCACAAACACAGTCTGGGTCTGCAGCACAAACAGGATCAACCATGTCCTCACCTTCTAGGAGTTTCCATTTCAGAGCTAGGAGGAACAGAAAACCCAATAAGCAAGCAAACTCATAAATTATGTCAGTAGTCACAAGTGCTAGGAAGAAAATTAAACTGGATAATGTGATAGGGAGCAGCTGGAGATGGTGTGTGTACCTTTGCTGTGTGTGTGTGTGTGTGCTGCTGTCCATGTGGAAGGGCAGGAGTGGGAGTGGGTAAATATATCTATGAGGTTGAATATGAAATTGCCAACATTTGTTCGTGCTTGATCTATAAAACTGACTTTTTCACAACTTCACCTATTACTTATGTGTGTGAGTTGTGTATGTGTGTTTATCAAAGTGTATTATGTTTGTAGAGGTGAGTAATATAAGGAAGGGTTAAAGGCTTCCGAGTGTGTCGGGACACCTGGAGGTAAGTGGCCTGGGCCGCCTTCGCCTTTGGTTTAGGGTTGTTTATCTCTGATGCGGCCCAACTGGGAGTTTTGGGCAGAATTTCTCCTCACCCCAGCAGCCGCCTATAATTCCAGCTGGGGACATTTCACAACTCTCAAGGAAACGGATCCCTTCCTACCCACAGCCCCTTCCCGCTGTGCAACTTGGCTTTTGTCCCCAAATCCCTCTCCCTTCTCCCGGGGGCGGGCCTGCGGCTTGACCTCCCCGCACCCTGCCCAGGCCAGCCAAAGGGGCTCCGCCCGCGGCGCGCCGGCGGCTCCTCGCGTCTTCTCGGGCCGGTAATCTCCAGCCAATGGCAGTGGCCGGCCCCGGCCCCGCCCTCACCCCGCCTCCCACCGGTGTTGCCCCCTGCCCGCGGGTCAGCTCCAGCCCAGCGCCCAGGGCTGCAGCGGGTTGCTGTTGGCGCCGGCTGCTTCCTATCCGCTCCCAGCCTGCCAGTGCGGGTCAGCCTGCGGTTAGCAGGGCTGGCCTTGTCCTCCTCATGGTGCTGAGCTGACACGGCCCTCGAGGAGCCGGGGTCCTGGCCCTGGCCTCCTTCCCTGATGTCGTTGGCAGTGTGCCTGGCAGAGAAAGAGGGTGCCCAGGGAAACCTCTGCCCAAATGGGGGATAACTTTGCTCCACTCCCTTCATGCTGTCACTCCGGGGGAGGGAGGAGGACAGCCCAATTCTCTGTGTTTAAATATTTTCCTTCTCAGAGCTATTTTGAAGTCCATTTACAGAGCCATGAGCCATTTCCCCCTCTGTGGAGGAGGGGTTAGGCTCTGCATGGCATGTAAAGTCCTACTCATCTATGGGATGTGGTGACTTGGGGAGGGTGATAGGGCCAAAGGGAGATGTAAGCAAAGGACTTTGCCCTCTCTTCCCCTGAGGGCCTGGGTCAGGCCAGGAAACTGGACATACAATCAATCCTTTACTGGTTGGAGTTCTGCATCTGCTTTGCCCGCCAGAGCCACCTGTCCTGTGATCATCAGGCTTCTTCCTGCCCCCTCCCAGTCTCTGTCTCACCTCCATGGCCCTTTCAGTGATTCCTCCTAGTTCAGTAGGCTGGGGTTTTGGGTGCCATCAAGAAGTTTAAGGGCACCATCTTAGTTATAGAGTCAGCCATGAGCACAGCCTTCAGGCTGGATGCAGAGCAGGGGAGAAAGTCTTTAATAAGCTTTGTGAACCCGAGGGCACTTCTTTCCCTCTTGGCTTCAGTTTCCTCATCTGTGAAATGAATTGAACCTGATCAGCGTTTCTTAACACCGGTTCAATGGGGGTATTTAGAGGTGTAACACAATCAAGGGGTTTCATAAACAACCAACTTGGGCAACTCCGGATTAAATGGAATTTAAAAAGTCTCTCTAGGAGGTGCTTCTGGGAATCTTTAGGTGCTAGTGTGCATTGTAGGTGTGCCAGAGTGGGTCAGAGTACAGTTTTCTATATTGATTTTGCCTTGGAACCTCCCCTCCCCACAGTACTGGGATCAGCCGAGCACTCTGGGCATACTAGGCAGGCGCTCTATCACTGAGTTACATCCCCAACCAAGGGCTTTTCCGTTGTATCTCTTGGTGACATTGTTGCTGGAACCTACGTTTAAGAAATGCCCCCATGGAGCCTCCAAGATTTCTTGGGGGGCTCTGGGCAAGGGGAGCCCTAGGTGATGTCAGGCTATTCACAGTGCCATTCTTCTCCCCCAGCTGCCCAACATGTTTGGGAACCTGCGCTCCACTTTCATGGCCCTCATGATTGGCTCCTATGTCTCTTCTGCCATCACTTTTGGAGGAATCAAGGTATGGATGTTCTGGAGGGACCAGTAAAGTCACCTGTCTTTTTACCTTGATGCTAGAACTGGGTGTGACTGGGTGAGTGGTGGCTATTGTGTCCAATGGCCCTGTTCCTGCCCATCATAGGTCATTTCCCACCATTGTGCAGAAAAGCACTGAAGCATCCTGGCCCTACTGCTGACCCAAAGGTCAGACATCTCCACTCTCCTCTTTCCTTCACCAATGTCCCAGCAGACCTTTCTTTTCTCTCCTGGACCAAGCAAACTTCCTCAGTCTCTGATCTTTTCTTTGTCTAATCTGCAGTCACCTGACTTCCTGACTGATATTAGAAAACCATTGCACAGACTCACAAGTCAAGGGCTCGACTCTCTGGCTTCGCTCAGCCTTTTGAGTCATACCTTCCTACTGGGGAGGCTGAGTGAGTTGGTCCAAGGTCACAAAGTGAGTCTATGCCAGGTAGCTCATGGACAGGTCAGCCTGGTGACTTGGGAGCCTAGACGCCTGAACTTGGGGCAGGCTGGAGGTTCTCAGTTTCTTCCTCTATTAGACTCTGTCAAAGGCTTCTTTTCTTTTTTTCTTTTTGCAATCCTAAGGCCTGAACCTAGGGCAGCTCTCAAAGTGCTGTTTTTGCCTGGGCTGGGATATGTTCCTTAAACATAGTTAATTTTTGATTTAAAAGGTAGTTAATTTTTGATTTAAAAGGCATTTCTGCTCACCCTCTCATAGGAGTTGGAGAGTGTGTGAATGGGCCAGCTGTTACTCCCACACATTTGGGGGTATGGCCCTTTTAAGCTCAGTCCTGTCCCCAGGAAGGAAAGCACCTTAAGGCCCAAAGCCAAGGAGCGCCAGAGGTTTCTCCCAGAAGGCAACTGGAGCTCTGAGCAGGAGCCTGGCAGTCATCCCAGGTGGAGAGTGTCAGGGAGGACACGAGGAACCACAGCATCTTGGTGCACAGGGACTTCACCCACTAGAGTGGATGTCTCATTGAACCCAGTCAGTGCAGAACCGAGTTGTCCTGGGGTTAGGAGGCCTTATGAGGGCAGAGGACTTTCGATCCCCATCTTCTTGGTGCACCTGGAAACACCTGTTAAAGGTGAGATAAGGTTTTTCAGATTGGGTTTGCCTTTCCCCCAGGGAACGTGCCAGAAAGGGACAGAATAAACACCGTTGGGTCTGGTAAACCCAGAGCTTTAATTTTCCTTTGTACAGAATATGAAATGACTTTTTGTGTGTGTGTGTGTGTGTGAAAATAAACATTTTGTGGAACCACAGACAAAATATGTGCCTTTTTAAGACCATAATTGAGATTTCCAAGACATTCGGAGTGAGTGGCCAACAACTTCAGCACTTTGTGGAGACTACTCCACACTTCTTGAGAGGGGCTTGGGTGAATGAGGAAGAAGATTGGTAGTTTTGGGGATCTGACTCTTAATTTCTGACTTTACTTTTTTTCAATTGCAAATTGGGCACGCGGAATGGGGAAGAGGAGATCTTTAAGGCATCTGAGAGCTGGGTTTGACCTCTGTGGGGCCTGGGGCCAAGCAGCCTCCTCCATGGGCTGTCCTGCTCCTCCCACAGCTGATCTACGATGCTGGGGTGCCCTTTGTGGTCATCATGTTCACCTGGTCTGTCCTGGCCTGCCTTATCTTTCTGAATTGTGCCCTCAACTGGCCCATGGAAGCCTTTCCTGCTCCTGAGGAAGGTGCTTACAAGTGAGTGGCTGGAGGGGGTGGGGGTTTGGAGTGGGAAGGGGACTCCCTCTTGCACCACCAAAGGGGAGGCCAGGGCCCTGAGGTATGACACAATCAGCTTTGGAGAGAGACCTACACTTGGAGCCCCGCTTTGCAAATGCCTTCATTTCTCTGAGCTCTGCTTTCTCATCTGTACAGTGAGAAATTCTATCCATTCACAGGTGTTTTGAAATAATAGAACCGGCCCACAATGGGTGGTCAAAATATGGTGACTGTTGAGCCCAGTGGTGTATGCCTGTAATCCCAGTGACTTGGAAGGCTGAGACAGGAAGACTGCAAGTTCAAGGCCAGCCTCAGCAACTTAGTGAGAACCTGTCTCAAGAAAGAAAGAGAAGTAGGGATGTAGCTCAGTGGTAAAGTTCCCCTGGATTCAAACCCAGAACCAAACCAAACCAAAATCAAAACACAACACACACAGACACTCAAAACAACAACAACAAAAACCCATAGAGAATATTATTGTTATTATCCTTTCTGTGTTTGGAGATCAGAAATCTGGTATACCAGCAATAGCACCAGATACTTTTTGGACCCAAAAGGGAAGATGTAGAGGAATCAAGCAGACTACCTGCTGTGGGGCAGCTGGAATTCCAGCTCTTCCCAGCTTCATTTCGACTCAGCAGTGGCAGAGGGTGGTGCCCCACAACCAGCCACATAGGGTGGCAGTCATGTAGCTGACATTTATGGAGTACCTACTCTATGCTGGCACTGTACTTAGCTCCCATATCATTCTCTAATACCTGTGTGTCTCTGTTAGATACTTCATTAATAACAAAATGCAAGCCGGGCACAGTGGCACATGCCTGTAATCCCAGGGGCTTGGGAGGATCGAGAATTCAAAGCCAGCCTCAGCAAAAGTGAGGCACTAAGCAACTCAGTGAGACTCTGTCTTTAAATAAAATACAAAACAGGGCTAGGGATGTGGCTCAGTGGTTGAGTGCCCCCGAGGTCAATCTCCAGTATCCTCCCACCCTGCAAAAAACCCCAACAACAACAAAAATAACAAGATGCAAAGAACAAAGTGATTTTCTGAAGGTCATCCCATCGAAAAGGGGGTAAGTTGAGGTCAGGCGACCTCAGAGTTTGAATTCTCCCTGCTGCCTCTTCTGTAGGAACAAGTGAAAATGATTCATTTGCCGTTTGTTTGTTGGTCTGTGCCTATGCTGGTCTCTGGGCCAGGCTCTGAGCAACAGAGATGAGCCCTCCATTAGGGAGCTCATTAGTGGGTCTGTCAATGCTAGGGATACTTGACACTCTTGGGACAGGCTGGGATGGCACCCTGGAGTTGAGGGTGGCCTCTGTGTGGCTGGTTTTCTTATGCTGTGGCCTGGTTGCCTGCAGGAAGAAGAACAATCTTGCTGGACTGAACCTGGACCACAAGCTCACGGGTGACCGCTTCTACACCCATGTGACCAACGTGGGTCAGCGGCTGAGCCAGAAGGCTCCCAGCCTGGATGAGGGGGCTGACGCGTTTCTCGCATTCCAGGACGCCCGTGACACCTCAGAAGACCTTCCTGAGAGTAAGTGTCTGGTCGAGGTGCCAGCACTGGGGACTGGGAGGGTGCATTCTTAGACCAGTGAACATCAGTCTCTTTCCACTTCTGTTCTCACACTACCCTGGGATGCAGGAGGAGCATACTTCCCATTCACAGATGGGGAAGCCAAACTTCAAACAATTCTGGCAATTTCAGACTTGGGGATACCCTGCTTGGTACCCTGGGTGAGGAAGGGAGGAGCAGAGTCTCTTGGTCTGTCCAGCAATTGGTTCACTCAGGGTCCCCTGCAATCTCTGAGCCTGTTGTGGCAGGGCAGTGGAGCTTTCAAAAGATGCAGCCCTCCTACTCCTGGCTCTCCAGCGCCCCCTGCTGTCTGCAGGAGGAGCTGCATCCACCTGCTTGGGTCACTTCTCAAGGCGTTGACTTGGGGATATAGCTCAGTTGGTAGAGTGCTTGCCTCGCATGCACAAGGTCCTGGGTTCAATCCCCAGCACCACACCAAAAAAAAAAAGAAGGCGCATATCCTTTGGTGAGAGACGATGGGGTTTGAGTCCTGCTTCCTATGCGGTGGGCTATGTAACTTGGGTGGATCACTTGTGCTTGATCTCACCTTCCTCACCTCTCAAACTAGCACTAATAAAACCCACTCAGCTGGGCACGGTGGTGCATGCTTGTAATCCCAACCCTGTGGGAGGCTGAGGCAGGAGGATTGCAAGTTCTAGGCCAGCCTCAGCAACTTAGCGAGGCCCTATGCAACTTAGTGAGAACCTGTCTCAAAATAAAAAAATAAAAAGGGCTGGTGTTGTGACTCAGTAGTAGAGTGCGCTGGGTTCAATCCCGGTACCAAAACCAAAACAAAAGGACCCACCTAAATAGGCAAGTTAGTTGTAAGGGTTGGATTACATCATGGACATGGGACCTCTTTGTAAAGTACAAAATTGGTATGTTCAGGAGAGTGGTTATTCCCACTGCCCATCCCCATGGGACAAGTGGTCAAGGGCAGGAGCCTGAGTAAGGCCAACCTGCTGTTCCGGTCCTGTGAGCTCAGGCAGGATCTGTCTGAACTACAGTTTCCTCATCTGTAAAATGTGGTAAAGAGCTGGGCATGGTGGCAGGCAGTTGTAATCCCAGCTACACCAGAGGCTGAGACAGGAGGATCCCTTGAATTTAGGAGTTCAAGACCAGCCTGGATAACATTGTGAGAGGAGATTATTGTAAGATTTGGTTCAATGGAATAGCTCGTAGTAAGTGCTTCAGTTATTATTACCACACAAAACACCGCTGTAGAGATAGTTACTGAGCGGTCCTTCTCCAGAGTCACATAGTTAGTGTCCCAGCCCCCATTAGGCCTGCATGAGCTGGGACAAACAGAGAGAAACTGAAGTTCTGGGGGCCTAGGGGCACCCCCTGCTGTCTCTCCACAGTCTGTCCCCTTCCGCAAGAGCCTCTGCTCCCCCATTTTCCTGTGGAGCCTTGTCACCATGGGCATGACCCAGCTCCGAGTTATATTCTACATGGCCATCATGAACAAGATGCTGGAGTACCTCATGACCGGTGGCCAGGAGCATGGTGAGGCACTGCTGAGGCCCAGGGTTGGGGCATAGCAGGGTCACCCTGGCTGAGCTGGCTCACTGTGTCTCTCCCCTACCCACAGTGACGGATGAGCTGAGACAAAATGTGCAAGAGACAGGTAGGGAGATGAAAGCAGAGCCCAGGCCCAGGCCCAGGCCCACCGTGCCGTCGCCTGTTCCCCAGGTGCTGGGATTCCTCTGGGCCTGGGCCTACCCTGGTAACCCGGGGATCCAAGAACCTGGGTCAGAGGGAGGCTGTTTGTCTGCTGGAAGTGGGTGGCCGTACCCACGGGGCCACTAGCATCCTGACCCCACTTCCCTTCCTGTCCTGTCCAGTTGGGTTCTACTCCTCCATCTTTGGGGCCATGCAGCTGCTGTGCCTTCTCACCTGCCCCCTCATTGGCTACCTCATGGACTGGCGGATCAAGGATTGCGTGGACTCCCCAAATGAGGGCACTGCTCTCGGAGATGCCAGGTGACCTGCCCAAGGATGGAGACAGCAAGTGGTCAGACAGTGCTTTTCATTTTCTCCATTCTTGCACATACAGTGTCTCATTTCATTCTCCTCCGAGTCCTGGGAGGGTAGGAGTACTTCTCCACTTTTACAGATGAGGAAACGGAGGCTAGAGGGGGCGTGGCTTGCTTGGTCATAAGAATAGCTTAACAGTGAGGACTGACTCTGTGTGAGGCACCTTGTGTGATCTGTTTAGTCCTGCAGCAGCTCTCTGAGGTGGGTATATTATTGTCCTTGTTTGCAGATGAGGAAGCTGAAACACAGGGTCACATGGTTAAGTAACTTACTCAGGACCCCACGGCAAGCTCTAGAAACTATGTCATAAAGGCCGTACTCCAAAGTGTTCTTAACCCACGAAGTCCCGAGTTTTTGATTCGTGAATGTCTCAATGAAATTGATACAGGTGCATTAAAATAGAGTAGAAGTAATAATCTAGAGCTTATATATCCTTTATAGATATACATAACCTAACATATTACATAATGACCTCAAATACTGTAATCATTTACCAATTTTCTCAAAAAAACAGAACTCTAAAAACATAATATCTATTTCAAAAGTTTCCATAAGTGGTATATTTATTGTCCCTCATCTGGGACCATGGGGCTTACTGAGTTAAAACTACAGGGAGATGGAATTGGTGTATGAGATTTATTGCTGCGTAACTAACTACCCCATCTTTAAACAACAAACACTTACCATTTCATACAGTTTCTGGGAATTGGGAATTTGGGGATGACAGCTGATTCTGACCCAGGGCCTCTCATGAGGCTGTGGTCGAGCCTCGGGCCAGGGCCACAGTCATCTGAGGACTGCCTGGGGCTGCAGAGCTGCTTCCAAGCTCAGCCGCGTGGCTGTGGGTAGGAGGGTCAGTGCCTCCCCACGAGGGACCACTGGGTCTTGAACCCACTGTGTCTCCAACCGGTCTTCTGACTGCTTTTGGTTTTTGTGTCAATACAAATAGTCCCCATTTGTCCTGAGAGGATGGGAGAGAGACACCAGGAGAGAAGCCATCTAAGGAACAATCCAGGGGCTTCTCTCTCTACCAGCAGTGCCTCAACCTTCTTCCCTGACCCTGTGCTCCTGATGGCCAGGGTCCATTAGCTGGCCTATTGGTCCAGGATAGATGGGCAGCGTGCCCTCACCCCAGCCTACTGACCTCTCTCCTGGGCTGTCCACAGAGCTCTTGATCATGCCAGACAGAGGAGCTTTCTGGTCAGTCAGAGGCCCAGCTGTCTAGACCGGCGGCTGACTAGACCGGCGGGAGAGCCGTTGTGAAACTCCCTTTTCTCTACCATTCTTCTCAGTCTTGATTCTAAAATTGCAGTGTGCATCAGAAATGCTCCGGGCATTTGTCCTGCAGACTCCTGGGCTTCACTCCTGAGGTTCTGAGACCTGGGGTCAGGCCTGCATTCTAGGAAGACATCCCCCCCCAATCTGATGCTTGAGTGGTTAGTTGGGGGAACCACACTTCGAGAGAACGGTTTTCCTGCCTTTTCTTCTGCCCCAACAATCAGGGGCAGGGGGCAGGGCCTGGTTGAGAACCAGGGAGGTCCAGGTGAGGTCCAGTGATGGCTTTTTCTCCTCAGGGATGGGGTCACCACCAAGTCCACCAAACCACGCTACCGCAAGATCCAGAAGCTCACTAATGCCATCAACGCCTTCACCCTGACCAACCTCCTCCTTGTGGGTTTTGGTTTCACCTGCCTTATCAGCAACTTACACCTCCAGGTGCCACTTCCCTCTGTCCCCTCCCTCTGCCTCCCACGATCCTCCAAAGGGACGATCCACCAGGGCCTGCCTTCTGGAGGCATGGCTCTGGCCTCTGCTCAGGGTCTGTTTCCCGGGTTCCCAGGTGTTCTTAGTAGATTGGTAGCAGGTGGGGTGGGAATGTGTAGATGACTTGGTGAGGCCCCGTGTCCCTCTGCACCCTGCCTTGACGCTGTCTCCTTTTTGGTTTCAGTTTCTGACTTTTGTCCTGCACACCATAGTTCGAGGATTCTACCACTCGGCCTGTGGGGGCCTGTACGCTGCCGTGTGAGTCATTCAGGCTGAACGCCTTTCCCAGCTTTGTCCCCATCACAGAGAAAACCAGGGTAGAGCCAGAAGGGCCCCTCGCGTCCCTTCAGTACCTCTCCTGCATGCTGGCCTCTCAGAGTTGGGGGGCTTGGGGGGCCATCTGGTCCACTCCTCTGAGCCCCTCTGATCATGGGGAGCCCACCTTCTCCACATCAGCCTTCCCTCTGCAGGGAGACTCCCGTTGTTGGAAATCTTCCTTGGGGGAAGCTGGAACACGTGGTTTGATGACAGAGGCGCTGGTCCCTGTGTCTGCTGTCAGAAATGGCCTCCACAGTGGCCTCCCTCCCCCCGGCTGCCCTGTAGAACACCCCCCCTTCCTTATGACTTTCCTTCTCCATCTGGAACAGCCCCGTGTCCCTTTCTCTCCTAGTTTCCACTGCCAGGCACTGCTGAGTGCCTCCCCTGCGGGGGCCATGGAGTAATAAAGGACATTACAGTAGCGATGACAGAATCTTAACTGTTACCGGGGCCTCGTCCACGGCCGGTCCAGGCCAGGAGGCTTGGTCATTGCTCCCTAGTGCAATGGCATCTCGGCACCAAGCAGCCCGTCCCTGTCTTGAACTTGTCTCTGTGTTTGTTCAAGCCAAGGGCTTACAGTTACCCTTGAGTCTTCTTCCTGCTCCACATTCGATCCATCGGCCTCCTGCCCACATTCCACCACCCCTTTGACTCCTTCTGACCGCCATTGCTGCGACCTCGGGCCAAGCCACTATTGGCTCCAGCTTGGATCACTGCAGTGGCCTCCAAATAGTCTCTTGAGGCTTGTCCTTCTTCAGTCCTTTGTGTGTGTGTGTGTGTGGTACTAGGAATTGAACCCAGGGATGCTCTGTCACTGAACCATATTTTACTTTTTATTTTGAGGCAGGGACTCATTAAGTTGCTGAGGCTGGCCTCCAACTTGTGATCCTCCTGCCTCAGCCTTCCAGGTCACTGGGACTAGAGGTGTGCCCCACTGTGCCTGGCCTCCTCAGACCATTTTTACACCAGTGGCCAGAGTCCCCTGGTAGGATATAAATCTCTTCATGTCACTAGTCTCACTCGAGAGTAAAAGCCAAAGGTTTATTATGACCTAAAAATCCCTACAAGATCTGGCCCCCTCTCCTCACTCCCTCACTCTTATGCCTCAGAAGCCCCAGCATGTTACGCCCTCGGGGTCTTTGCACTCGCTGTTCCCTCTTGCTAGAACACTCTTCCTCCAGATGTCTGCCAGGCTCACAGTTCCACCTCCTCCTCTTCTGACCTAGGAGGCCTCATCTGCGGAGGCCTTCCCAGGCCACCCTCTCTACAGTTGAAGCCCCCCTGACCTCCCCACCCTCTTCTCTGCCTGACCTCTTTCCTCAGCACCTAGACCGTGCTGTGCTCACGGTCGGATGGCCACCTGCTCCATCAATGACAGTGTCACCCTGTGAGGCAGGCATCTTTGCTCGCTTGGTACATAGCTTTATCCCCAGCACGTACATCAGTGCCATTTGTGGCAAGAATAAAGTGAGCGGCCGAGTGGGTTTCATGCTGTCCCTGTTATTCGAGGGACTGGGGAACAGAGAGGTTGAGCTCCTTATGATGATCACACAGACAGGAGCTGTCAGACCCGCAGGGCTCAGGGCCCAGGCATGCACCCTGAAGGGCAGGGACCAAAGAGCACATGCCAGGCCAGTAGTCCTCTTCCTGGTGAGGTCCTCCCTGGCCACCGTCTCTAGCTAAGTTCTGCTCTGCTTGCCAATAGAGTGAAGTCTGGGGAGGGGGCACAATGGGGGGGGGGTTACCCCTGATTCCTGGCCCCCTCTCTGTGGACAGGTTCCCATCCAACCATTTTGGGACGCTGACAGGCCTGCAGTCTCTCATCAGCGCCGTGTTTGCCCTCCTCCAGCAGCCGCTCTTCATGGTCGTGGTGGGACCCCTGCGAGGAGACCCCTTCTGGGTGAGAGCCAGGGTGGGCTCAGGGCACAGGGAAGAGGGAGGGGGACTCGTATGTGATAGCATCCCTCGTTCCGCTTATCTCAGCTGGGAGGCACCTCAGAGGCCTAATCTGGGGATTCCCAGGCTGGTGCCCATCAGAACTCCTTGTGGGGTGTTAAGAACGCAGGTCCCCGGCCTCCTGAACTGGCCTCTCTCAGCCCGGCTCTGTTTTCAGTAAGCTCCCAGGTGAGTTGCACGGTGGGCCAGCCCTGATCCTCGAGCCCGTGTTTAGGAGCCCTGGTCCCTAAGGTCCTACCAGGGGTCTTCCCTGCAGCACGGATGTTATTCGATAGGCTTTCCCTTGCATTGAACTGACATCTGCCTCCCTGAAACCAACTTCTGTCCTGTGGGGCCTCCCACATCATAAATCCTCTTCCCCCAAGATCTGTGATGAAAGAACTGCTCCCACTCCTGGAGAATTTGCTGTGTGCCAAGCACGCTGTGTACCTTTTGGCACTTAATCTTTGCCACAGTGGCCGAGAAAGAGGAGATGGCTGGCCCCGAGTCACACTGTGTCTTGTGGAGTGGAATGTGAACTCATTCACTCTCTTGGGCCTTGCAAGTCATCTGTCCCGCAGTCTGTCCATCTCCGTTTCTTTGCCCAGGCCTGAGAGCCGCTGCTCATCACCCCACATGGCATCCCATTGGCCAATATCCCATTGGCCCATGTCCCATTGCAAAGGCAGCCTGTCCACCGAGAGAGTGCCCCATTGTGTGGCCCCCATCCAGGCCCTGCCACTTACTAGACTCCAGGGTTTTCATCTCAGCCACTTGGCCAGGCTGCTGAGCATTAAATGAGATACTGGTGGAGCAGCGATCGCCTGCACTGAGTGCTGTTTCTCATTCTTCCCTAGGACTTGGAGCAAAAATGACTGCCTTCTCCTCTGCGTTGGTGGCTAAGGCGGGTCTCTGAGGATGGTGAGGTTTAACCAGCACATACTTGACTTTCTCTTTCCTTTCCCTAAAGGTGAACCTGGGTCTCTTGTTATTCTCACTTCTGGGATTCCTGCTACCTTGCTACCTCTTCTACTACCGTGCCCGGCTCCAGGGGGAGTATGTCACCCATGAGCCAGGCCCACAGAAGACGCTCAGCATCTCCAAGGGGGCAGCATAGACGTCTGAGGCCAAGAAACTGGATGACAGGAAACGAAGGCTTGAGAGACCAAAGGGAACACCCGGACGGCTCCCTACCTGTCACATGTGCATGGAGCCCGGAGCCGTGCATTTAAAAAATACCAAGAGAAGGTCTATTTTTATAGGGACTTGCAAAAAGGGGTGGGGATAACCTTAAGACAATATTTCCCAAAGCAACTCTCCAGGGACTGAAGAAGCCTGTGCTGGAGGAATTGGGCCTTCTTCCTTGGACAGAGGAGACCAAGGCGTGAGGCTGCCCTTTCTCCAGGCCTTTGTCCCAGGGGCCTCAAGGGTCCTGTCTTCTGGTGCCTCTGGAGGACTGTGGGGTCAGTGAGCAGGCTACCCCTGCGGCCCCAGCTGCCAGGAGTGTGAGTACCTGTGTGTGCTGTGACATACCTTCCCCCAGAGGAAAGGGGGCTCAAGGTACTGGCTGTGTCCTGTACGGGGTGCGGGGACAAGCCCCTTGCAGGACTGGAGGGCAGGTTCCCTCTCTGGTGCTGCTGCTCTCAGATCCGAGAGGAAATAAAAAGGGAGTGGGAGACTGGCTGCCGTGTGCCTGTGCTTTGGGGCAGTGGCGTGTACCTGTGCTTTGGGGCAGTGGCGGGGCGGGAGGGTTGTCTGTCCCCTGTCCCTCCTCCCCCGGGCTCAGCGGGGCATTATGTAGTGTGCCTGGAGTGCCAGGCTGTCCTCGGGCTGTCTGGCTCACCTCCCCGTTCTCTCCCTGCCTTGAGTGCCGGGAGGAAGTCTGAATCTTGCCCCCTACTTCCCAGGGTTTGGGGTGCATCCAGGAAGCTGGCCTTTTTCCACACAGTGGATCAGAGAAGGATGCTTCAGAAAGAAAACTAAGGGATGACTCAAACTTTCCCACCGAGGCATTTCTGGGGCTTGCTGAAAGCAACACCTCTTTGTAGTCTCCTATTTTATCTTAAAACTTCATGCAAATTTTAAGCTTTATGTTATGCTATATTTACATTTGCTTTTTTTTTTTTCCGGTTCTGGGGATTGAACCCAGGGTACTGTATCACCGAGTGAGCTATGTCCCCAGTCCTTTTGTTCTATCTTATTTGGAGATGGGGTCTTGCTAAATTGCTGAGGCTTGCCTCAAACTTGTGATCCTCCTTCCTGCCTCAGCCTCCAGATCCTTGGTGTCACAGGCATGTGCCACCATACTCAGCTATGTTACTTTTAACATTAAAGTGAGACTTTAAAATTATCCACATTGAGGGAAGACATCATCTTTGAGGAAAAGAGACCGTTCCGGAAGATGTAGCTCATTTACCCTGCACCTACTTGTGTTCCTGGGACATAAACCTTACCAATTAAAGTCACAGAATGGAGGGGCAACTAACTGTGGTTGAGGATCTGTCCGTTCTCTACAGTGTCTCCTTTCATCCCAACAATAGCACAAGAGGTCGATATTGTCATCCTGTTTTGTAGATTGAGGAACAAGCCCAGAGAGGTTAAGGCAGAAATCAAGGACACACAGTGGTGAGTGGTGAAGCTCATCATGGAACTCAGGCAGTCTGCCTGCAGAGTCCTAACCCAAGGCCTTCCCTGGCAATCAGGGGTGAAATGGAGACCCCAAGCTTCTTCCCAGTTATCAGCAGCCCTCTCTGGGCTGAGAGTGACCTTGACAGCCCTATCCATCCTCCTCTCCCCCATTTCTACTCTTGAAAAGGACCTGGGAGGTAGCATCCCGGATAAACCATATTCCCTCTGTCTTATTAAATTTTCTTGAGAAGTTAATGAAACAGACTGGCCCGCCTGTTTTCAATGGAGAAAATGTTCAGAGAGGTGTGAGACTTGACCAGGTCACACTGCACATCCCTGGCTGCTCGGAGCTGACTTCCAACATTGCCTTAGCAAAATACAAGATCAGAGTTAGCGCCCACCAGGGGATCCTGCCGGTTCCCAGAGGCCCTGCCCGGATCTCACTGTGCTCTCCGGCCTTCCCCATAGTGTGGTGAAGATTGAGCAAGAAATGTGAGATCCCACCGGATTCTGGGTGGGAAGCGGGGCGTGCGCGCCGGGTACCCGGTGCGCCCAGCAGGCGGCGCTGCATGGCTGTGGCTGGCGCAGCCTGGGACCCGGGCTGGGGGCGGCGAACCACCCGCGGAACCCCACACCCTGCCCACTAGTCCGCCCCTCCCGGGGCTCGGCCTCCTGAGCCTCTAACCTGGACATACTCTGCCCCTCCTTTGAGGTCTCCCCGTGTCTCCCCGGACCCCCAACCTTTCAAGCATCGTCTCCAGCCCCACTGCCCACCCCCACCATGGAAGGAAGGGGTCTCAACGCTCAACCCTGCCCGGCTGAGGCTTGGGACCGGGTGGGCGATGCAGGCAGACCTTTGGGCCTCCTAGGAGAGGGGTGGCATCACTTTTCCTCTCCCGGGGATGGGGGGAGTTTGGGGAGGGGGCTGGGCAGGGGCGGAAGCGAGCTGGAGCCGTGTTTGTCGCGGCGCTGCGGAGTAGAACAGATGGCTGGGGAGGGGAGAGGGTGCGTGGCGGGGAGGAGGAGGGGTGCGGGGGCCGAAGGATGAGGAACGAGGAATTTCGACGCCCCGAGTCTCCCGGGAGAAGCCCCCGCCCTCCGTGTCTTCCCAGAAAGCGGGGCGGGCGGGAGCCTGCCTTTCCCCGCAGGGCTCCGGCCCCCGGCCCGCGGCCGACCCCCGTGCTCCGCCCGCCGCCCCAGGGCGCGCCCCTCGCCCCCGAGTTCCCACCGCGCGGCGGGCTGGCGGGGTCGAGGCCGTCGGGAGCCGCCCGGGGCGCAAGGGTTAATGGGGCCGCGATCCGGAGGACGAGGGGGCGGCGGGAAGTGGGCTCCCGGCTGGGAGCGAGTTCAGGGATCGCAAATAGCTAAGGGAAAACGTGTTAATTGGAACTTTATGCAGATGAGCTGGGACTGGGGGCTGGCGGGAGGGGGAAGGGACGGTCAGAGGGACGTCGGACGAGCTGGGCCCTGAGGGCAAGGGTGGCGGCTCCCGCCAGGGGACTGAGGCGCGACTGTCCCTAGACTCGTGCGAGGCACCTCGGGAGGGCGCTAGTCCTCTCTGACCCTCCGCCGCAGAAACCAGGGGTGGCCGTCTTCCCGGGCCTGGGCACCGGGTCCAGAAGTCCTGCCTCCGAGGAGAGGGCGGGGCGCACCTGCAGGTGCCCGTTTCGGCTACTGGCCGCTCGCGGGTCTCGCTCCCTCTGTCCCCCACCCCCCTCTCTGGTTACATCCTTTATCTCCACCCAGGGCGTCACCTTTTTTCCTTGCACGAGTCTGGTCCGTAACTTTCACCAGGTGCGCGGGGGTGGGGTGGGTGGGGGCGGAGCTAACCTTTCTCCATCGCACTCGCCTTTCTGTCCCACCGGGACCACCCCACCTTCGAGGGGAAGTTTCTTCAACTTTGGAGTGCTTTCTAACCCACCCCCACTTGTTAAAATGCAGAGTCCAGGTTTGCGGAGCTCAGGAATCAGCTTCTCATTTAAATCGGATGCAAAGGGCCCCCCCCCCTTTTTTTTTAGGAACATTGTACAAGGGACGAAGGTGGGGGTGGGTTTAGTGGCTCCTGCCACAGTCCCTACCCGCTCGCTGCCCTCAAGGTTCATGACCTGCCCTCCGCTCAGTGTGGCCGCTTAGTTTCCGGTCTAGCTTCGGGCACATCAGGAGACCTGGGGAAGGTGCCAACTAGAAAGGAGGGAGGGATGGAGAGAGAAAGGGGTGGGTCTCCACCTGGCTTTTCCCTCTCTGAGCAGGGTCTTCTCCTTCCTTTCTGCGTTGTCCACTTCCACCAGCCTTGCCACGTTCTCCCTCCCTCTCTCATCTGAAGTCCCTAGGAAGACCCAAGTGTCTCGAGGTGGATGGTGGAAATAACTAAAGTCCTCACCTTCAAAAGAAGGAGGGCCCCTCTCTTGTTGGGAGAAAACAGGAGGAGGGAGGCAGGACTTGAGGAAGGATAATAATAATTCAGACAATGCAGGTCATCTTCCCATAGGCTATTGCACTTACTCCCCACAACAACTCGACTTAACCCGGCATAGCTGCCCCCACCCCCAACTTATAAAATGAAAATGAAAAATTACAAAAAAAAGATACCCTGATGTTCAGAGAGGTTAAATAATTTGCCCAAGGCCACACAGCTTGCAAGTAGGAGAGTAGTTAGGTCTGTCACCCTTCTACCCTCTCAAAACTGTTTCTCCAGGGGCCACTGGATACCTAGCTGTCCCAGGTCTGCCCTCCCTGTCCTGCCTCCCTGGGGTATTGGGGATGGGGAAGGGCATTGTGTACACAGAGGAAAGGATATGGATACTCGGGTTTCGGAACATCTGACAGGTTTGGCTGGAGGCATTAAAAATTCATGTAGCAACCTGACCCCAACTGGACCTTGGGCCTGCCACCTGGACTGCCCCTGGCTCTGTGACCTCTTAGAGTTCCGTGGGCAAATTTTCCTTCTACAGTGTCCTGGGAGCCCCAAGTCTTTGTATTTCATAGGCGAGGAGCCCTCACACAAATTAGAGATCTAAAGTAGGGGGCCAGCCGCTCAGAAAGCAGGGCTGGGAGCTCTACCCCCAATCCGGGTGTAAGAACCTTAGAGGCTTAAAGGCTTATAAACCTTGTCATCTGGCGTCCTTCTATTCCTCTCCGTGGGCGATTAGATGCTCGCTCTCAGGTTAGGTTGGCTGAAACCCGGCTGTGCTTCCCAAGGTGGCCGTTAGGGGGCAGCCGTCCGCTTGGAGGAAGCCGAGGCCCCGCTGCTGTCTGCTGCTTTGAAGGGCAGCAGCAGAACCTCCAAGCGTGGTCAGAGGGATGCACATGTCTTGGCCTTGGGAAAGGCTCAGGAGTCTGAACTGGGGAGGTTTCCTAGTCTGCGGGGAGAGCAAGGAACGTTAGGGGGCATTCAAAGTAGGTTTGTGGGTTTCAAGTGCAGGATAACTGATGGCCAGCAGGACCCAAGCGTTCTTAGCTGGAGAGAAGGCTTGGGACACAGCCATGAGAGAAAAGGCTAGAAAAAGCAGAGGGCTGGGGACTCTGAAGAATGTCTGATGTTCCGCTGAGGTGTTTAACCTGTAGGCAATAGGGAGCCACTGGAGGTTCCTGAGGGACATAGTGGCCTAATGCAAATTTTGGCCAGATGACTCTGGTCACCAAGGGCAGGTTGGGTGAGAGGAAGGGAGAGAGGGACTGCAGCAAAATGAGTGCAGAGATTATTGCTGTTTTCTTTTACATTCCGAGCAGGAGGTCATGAGTAGCTGGAGCAGGGAGGTGGCGGGAAGGAAATGGAAAGGAGAGAGGGGCACTGGGTAACCAAATAGATACAGGAGACAGGGAAAGGGAGGCGCTGACTACAACCAGACTGGGTGTCTGGCAGATGACAAGAAAGCAGAATGGGGGCACACTCACCGAATGTGGGAGGCGAATGAGTTTCGAATTTCAGGAGGTTGGGGGAGTGTGGGACAAGTCCCTTTCCCTCTCTCTGGCCTCAATTTTCCTATCAGAGCACTGGTGGGGGTTGGGCTGGATGGCCTTGAATGTCCCTTCTATTTCAGGGACATTTGAGGGTG